CTACTTGCATAGCATAGGAACAGACTTTGGAAGACATACTGGATGACATTCTGTTAGAGAGTTGCCAAAACTTGTGTGTGTGTGTGTGTGTGTGTGTGTGTGTCTGTGTGTGTGTGTGTATTAAAAAAGCGTTGCTGTCAATATGATGACAAGTATAATGATGAGAATGGCTTAAAGGCAAGAAGTTTAAACTTTGGGATCAAACAGATCTGATTTAGAATCCAGTCTCCAATATTCTCCTAGCTGTGTGACCTTTCAGAAAACCCAACTCCACTCTTCTTCCTTCATCTATAAAATAGGAATGGATTGACAGCCTTTTTTTCTATCATGAGATAAGAATTAAGACAATGTATGCAATGTTTTTTAGCACTATATTTAGGAAACACAATGCAGTAGGAGCAATAATGCTATTAACAGTAATAGAACTGTGGAGAGCAGTAAGGATCATGGAAGGGTTGGAGAAAGAATGTGCTTTTCAGGGTAGCAAGCTTCAGGGTACTGTGTGATGCCAGGATAAGATGTAAAGGAGTGACTCAAATGAAATTGGCTGTTGGGGGTTGAGATTAGTTATCTCTGGCAATGGTATATTCTGAGACAGGTAACAGGATGTCCTGTTTCTGAGAAATTGAAATATTGGAAGGGATGGGTTTTGTATGACCCTATTCCTGGGAAGATGTTCCCTTACATAGGGAACAGACCACAGACCAAAGTAAGGGCACAAGCAAAATCCAACTTGATGGCGATGACTCAAAGACAACTGTGTCACCACAAGCCCACCTTCAGCATCTGGGATAGCCCACAAAAGCTGGGAACCTGGAGTGCACTGTGTAATCTACAGTTGGAGAGGGTCCTTTGTAGGTAGCTCCATTGGTCTGGTCCTCCTCTAAGGAAATCAGCTGTTCTCTGCTTCTTCTAGGCTGACGAGAAGGCTTGGCTGATCTGACCCTCTTCGAAAGCTCTTCAGCTTGTCTACCAGTGCCTCTCAGCAGTCCTTGTTGCTTATTTATGCTTAGGAAGGGAGGGCATAGTGAATCTGGTTAGTTTTAGGGACTTCCTAAGACCTTTGAGTAATTTGTTTCCTGCGTGTAAATTAGCTTCTCTGCAGGATGGGATGTTTGGCCTCCCTTGCAACAGCTTGTGTCTTAATGAGCTTCCTTCTAAAATGGATGGTTTTATCCTGGAGGAAATTGCTATGTAACAATGGGACAAAGAGCAGAGCCACATGAACTGAAGTTCATAACATATGAAGACCAACTGTCAACTTATTATCATTTATCTTTCCTCTCTTTCTCTCTGCCCTGTGTGTGTATGTGCCTGTGTATTTTGCATACATGCATATGCACATGGTATGCATGCCCATACACAGGCACTGAGGCTAGAAGAGGATGCTGGGTATCCTGTTTTCCCTCTTTCTGTATTACTCCTTTGAGACAGGAGTAATACACTGAACCTGGAGGTAGAGTGGGATCTAGCAAGCTGCAGAAATCCTCCTGTTCTCTACTCCCTCACCCCCATGCCTCCTCTGTGGTTACAGCTATACTCGCAGACATACCTGGCTTTTTATACTGGTGCTGGAATCTGAACCCAGGTCCTCAAGTTTTCATAGAAAAAGCTCTTACTTGCTGAGCTTCCTCTCTAACCTCTTATCCATTGCCTTTAGATTCTCACAGTGATAATTCAAAGAAAAAAGATGACTAAGAAAAAAAGGAATAAGTGACAGACTAATAGGAGAAATCAAAACAGATTTGGCATTTTTATGATGTGTCTTATCATCTTTTAAAACAATATGCAACAATTTAAGATGTAATTAAGAACTGGAGATGTAGCCGGTGTCAAGAAGTTGACTAATTAATGCAAACCCTGGGTTTGATCTCCAGTACTGAAACTTAATAAATAAATGGATCAAAGAGTAAATAAACAAATAAAATATAGTACATGGTATTTAAAGAAAAATTTGAGCATAGCCATTGCTTACAGAATTTGTATAGATGTGTAGCACTGCTCAGAGTGTGTATTTTTAACAGATATCATGCTAATTCTGATTGGGGTGTCCTCTACACTCTAGAAAACACCATGCTGGATTCCATTGCTGAGAGTGTGGTGCATGGCTCAATAGCCTCAGCTTCCCATGCGAACTTGCTAGAAATGCAGACTGACAGGTCTGGTGCAGGTCTGCTGAAGCAAGTCTTGCACTCTGATGAGACCCCGATATCTTGTACTATTCTGTTGCCCTCTCCTCAGTGAGAGCAGTTGTTGTAGGGACATAGCGCCTCATTGAGAAAGTTCACTCCTTGCTGAAAGATGGTGCATTTGGTCATTGACCCAGGTCTTCACTCTGAAACTCTCAGACTTGCAGCTTTCTCCTAACAATTTCACCTGACGTTGTTTACTGTCCATTTCTGCCTCCCGTTCTCCTAAGCCCTTTCCAGTTCCTTGGCACGGTTTTAGCTTACACGTGGCCTCTGTTTGGAACAGCCACTAATAATTTGCTTAGCACCTTTCATGATTTCTTCAAATAAACCCAATCTCACCTGTGGAGATGTATTCATCTCCCCTTTGCCTTCTCTTGTTTCTTTGGTCTTCTTACTTGTGTTTATCATGTTATTCCTGTTTTCAGAACCAAATATGCTGATGAATAATTGAAAAACATCCAGCTACCAATGATGACTAGCCATTTATTGTTTTAAAATAAGTTACAAGAGAAAGAAAATCTGTGCATTTATGAGTGACTTGTCATTGATGTCCCTGCCATTCCCTGCTGTCTTGATGTTGGGGGCACACAGAGTAGAAGATAGTCTCTGTAATATTTAGCAGGGGCTTTGGTATATGCATGGTATAAAGTTCTGTTATATAAAATAAAAATGTGGCCCACTGAAACTTTCTTAATTCATTTTTTGTATATTTTACCTACTTTATGAAATGTATTCTTTTCATCTACTATTTTTATAGGGGGCTCACATGTGCCATGGGGTGTGTGTGGAGTTGATAGGACAACTCATATGAGTTGGCTCTCCACAGTGGATTGGTGGGATGGAGCTCAGGTCCTTAGGATGGTCTCCCAAGCACTTTTACCATTTTGCTGGTCTTTGCTTTCTTTCTTTTATTTTCTTGGTTTTTCGAGACAGGGTTTCTCTGTGTAGCTTTGGAGCCTATCCTGGCACTCACTCTAGAGACCAGGCTGGCCTCAAACTCACAGAGATCCTCCTGCCTCTGCCTCCCAAGTGCTGGGATTAAAGGTGTGCTCCACCAACACCCGGCATCTTCTTTCTTTTTGATATTCTCAATTCCTTTTCATTCCTGGTCTATTTTTCATTTTCACGTGTGTATGACTATACTCAGCTTTCCCCTTACTTATTAAAAGTGAAAAAAGATATATAAAACTTAGGAACATACACCTTACTGTTTGAGGTCCTTACTGCAGGTGCTATTTATCATTCAGCATACATAAAAGTCAACAATGGGTGGACACAGTCCTCCAGACATTCCCAAGATAATTAATTCTGTAGTTTACACTTTTTAGTTCTGTGTGGGATACATCTGAGGATTAAGGGGAAGCTCTGAGGAGCAGCCATATTTCTGTATTGCAGCAGGCTCACCACATACAGGATTAACATAATTCTATATGCTTACTATTTTGGCAGTCATTTAAAAACTTTTCTCAGAGATATTGATGATGCAGGTGTACTTATTTTGATGATTTTATACAATATCCCTTTTGTTCAAAGTATAAAATGTAATAATTTGTAAAGGAGTTGAGTGAAAGTAATTTAGAAAACAGGGAATACAGAAAAAAGAGGTTCAGTTTTTTTTTTTTAGAGATAAAGCAATACAGAAAATAGGCAATAGTCACTGAGATTCAGTTAAGTACAGATATTTGGGAGACTGAAACCATACCAAAGCAGATATTGGGTATTTTGGTTCTTGTCTGTTATAGTTTGGTTTTCTGTTACTGTGATAAAATATGACCAAAAGTGATGTGGGGAAGGAAAGTATTTGTTTATCCTACAACTCTAAGTCAACAGTCCATCACTGAGGCAATTCAGGGCTGGGACTGGAGGCAGGAACTAAAGCAGAGACTGTGGAGGAATACTGCTTACTTGTTTTCCCTGGCTTATTCAGTTACCTTTCTTTTCTATAGCTCAGACCCAGTTCTTCAGAGTTGGTACTGACTACAGTGGGATGGAGCCTCCTACATCATGAGTCCAATGTGGGAAAACATATTTTCCTCAGATCACCTCCAGGGACCTTTTTAATTTTATACTTTCTGTTCAGATAGGCACCCTACTGTGGAATCTGACTTTGTCACGTATTCTCATCCAACTGAAGACTAAGACCTCTTTTTCTAGTTCCTAAGAGTGTTATTGACTGATAGCTCTGGGCTGGGGTTCTTTTTTGAGGGCTCTGTCTAGGACCCTCCTAAGAGCTCCACTCTGTTCAAAATTCTGCCTCTTCCCTACAGTGTCCTGTACTCAGTGACTGTTCTCAATGATGGTAGACAGTTTTGGCTCCTTGTCTACATTTTAGACAATTTTGGATGGTCATCCCATTTCCAGAACAACTGATGCACTTAACAGAGACCCTTGGAACAACAGCATTGTAGTTGAGTCCTCTCTGTGACTAATCCTTGTCTTGGGTGGTGAAATTCAGAGCATGCCTCAATAAAATTCCACCACACAAATTTCTGCTTCATGGGAAATCTAGTCTTGCCTTGAAGTGTTTGTGAAAGGTATAAAGTAGCAATCTTTCTCTATGGGTGGCTAATTGTCTTTGTCTACTCACTAAAAGGTTGTTTCTTTCCTTAATACATTGTAAAAATGATTATAAATGAAGAGGCCACTTCTGCCTGGATTTGAATCTGAGTTCCATTCCATTAACACATTTATCTATTCTTGGACAAATGTTACACTTTTCAGTTACTCTGAAATTATGATGTGTTGATCTTCTGACAGATTTGTTTTGTCAAACAAAATATGTTCTTTTTTTAAAAAATATATGTAATTGTGCTCACTTTGGTAGCACGTCTTCTAAATGTGAAGCAATACAGAGAAGATTAGTGTGGCCCTTGAACAAGGATCACATGATGATTTCTGAAGCATTTCATATTTTAAAACAAAAAAATATAGGTAATTCTCATCTTTTTCAACTTTATGTTTTGAAACAATATTTTCTTTTTTACTTTTTTTTTTTTATTTTTTGAGACAGGGTTTGTCTGTGTTGCTTTGTAAGCCAGGCAAGCCTTGAACTCACAGAGATTCAAGATTTTCAGTTTCAACAAAATCAATTATGATTTTCCTGGAGTTGGATTAATCTGGATATTGTTGTTTCTGGGGAAAGATTGCCTTTCAGTATTGGAATCCTGATCTATACACTTAGCTTATATTTGCATGTCGTCTAGTCTTTAATTTGTATCAATAATATTTTCATAACTAACTGCATTGAGCTATCAGACATCTATTAGTGGCTTTATCCCTAGATATTCCTTGGGTTTATTTTGTTATAAATGTTAAATATTTTAATAGGCTTGAGAAGAAGGTTGCTATCATGTGACAGGAGGCAGGTATCTCTTAGTGGTCTTTCTGAGTAGACTGTCTCTGGGGATGCAAACTTTGGATATTGCATTGTTATTTGAGTATGGAGTTCATTTTGTCAGATGGATCAACTGTACTTTGTCCTACAGTTTCAGTGTGTAACAAGGACCTTGCTTTTAAAGGACTTGAAGCTAACAAGATGGTTAGGAAAAAAATGTGTATGCTACTGGGCCTAGTACCCTGGGTTGGTTACAAGGACCTACAAGGTGGAGGGGGAGAGATGATTCCCAGAGGTTGTCCCCTGACCTGTGGCCTTCCCCACAAACTAATAAATACATGTAATAAAATATTTAAAAATAAATTTTAGATTTGTTTTCACTTGCACACAGAAATGTAATTGTTTTTTTCTTCTGTGTTTTTATGTGATATTAACAACCATGATAAACTTATTATTACAACTCACTTGTTAAAACTAGTGGTTTCTTTGCAGTTTTTTGTGGCTTTACTCTACACACTAATTTAATTTTGAATAATAAAGTTTTAATCTTTATTTTCCAATCATTACCTTCTTTAAGTTATGTTGGTGTCAACCTTGTCTTATTCTTGATCTCAAAAGGAAAGTTTTAAATTTTTGGCTGCTTAAGAGCTGTTGAAATGTAATTTTTGTAGATATTTGTGGTGGATAATTTTGTTTCCCATCTATATTTACTTATTTTCCATTTGCTCCCATGCCTTGAAGGCTGATATATGTGAACATCACTCACATTCCTTTGCTCCTGGATTCCAAATGGGTTGGAATTAGCAGGCTGGCATATTTCCTTTGGAGCATTTTCTTGCTGGGGATGAGTCTCCCTTGCTGTTCCAGAGTGCAGGCAGACTAGTGTGCCATGTCCAATTGATAAGGATAAAAGTAGTCTCCTGAAGATAACTTTAGAAGGATGTAACTGAGATAAACAAATTTCTCTGGGCATTAGGGAGGTATAAGAATAGCTAAAGCAAAAAAAAAAAAAGAATTGCTAAAGCATTTTAAAAAATTACTTTTAGTATTATTGCTAACTTCTTTATATTTATAATTATAAACACCCTTCTGATCATTTTCCTATAAATAAGCAAGGCACTGGGGATGGATCAATTTGACTCCCTAATTAGCAGTTATTGAACTCTCTCTTGCTGCCTGGACTGCCTTGATCAAAAGGACTATCAATGTAACAGCCAGCTGGTCTACCTTTATGCCAGGAATACTCCACAGATGTCTTGAAACGATTATGCAAAAGATTGAAGTTGATTGCCCTGGTGCTTGAAGCCACTGACCCAGCCAGGCATGTTAGAAACAGTTGTATAGCAGACATTTTACAACCATAAACCTTAGTAAACCCTTTTCCCTCCACCAGAGGTGGAGCAAGTCTCCTGGTGGAAGGCCTACAGTGATTGGTACTATCGGAGGAGGCCATATTGGACCAAAACACGAGCCTTCATGACTCTGAGTGCTGTTAATATTTGAGGCTGTGATTGGCCCAAAGAAATGTAGGATTGGTCCAAACATATGGTTACGATTGGTGTGAACACCTATTCAGGCTGTAGAGGTAGGTGGGTTGCTTAGGCTTCATGACACACTTCTGTGTTGCAATGTCAGGTCTCATAAAGACTTTCCTAGACTACCTTCAGTCTTGTGGATGAATTGGTAACAGAAAGCAAGCAAACAAGCTCACTCAGATTGCTTAATGGCAGCTTCCTAGATGAAAAAGTGACAAACTGAGCTTGATAGCCGAGGACCCTGGATGTGCTTCATAGGTGGACCAGATACTTCCTGGCTTCACACTCTGAGTGCTGGGTTCTCCTGCATTCCACCTTACATTTCTAAGTCCCGGAAGCCCAGCTCCACGTACAGAATGTCTACAACCACAGCTTGATAGGTAAAGGGGTTCCAAGGTGTTTGATCTTGTCTTCTTGCCAAAGCACTAGGATCGCAAAGAATTAAGCTTTTGTGTATCATCCATTTTCCCAGCCCTGGCTTCCGTGTGCAGACTGTTAGCACCCATAGTTTGATAGCTGAAGAGCTGATGATGGATCCCATCTACTAGTGACCCTTTCCATCCAGGAATCCTGCATGAGGCCTATGTTTGCACCCTAGTGGTCCTGGCCATACCCAACACCAGTTCCTAAGCAGCCTGCCACCTGACTCACATCCCAGTTTCAGGGTGCAGTCCTGACAGAGGCAGGCACCCTAAGTCAGTTCTGCCTGTAGCTATGTCAGGCAGCCAGTTGCAGGCTTCAGAGCAGTAAAAAGAAAAAAAAAAACTAGAGGAAACAAAGTTCCTTCTTTAAAAGAAGAGCAGTCAAGTCTTCAGGGGCAAGGGCTTCAGGGATAAGTAGGCTGAGAGCTGTTACAGTCGCTGCTGCAAGGGCCAAGGTTCCCAACACCCTCTGCCTACATGGAGTCTATCACATTGGGGTGGGGGGGCACTTGCTGTTGCTTCAGTCTGCTGCTGCCACTGCTGTCTCCGAACTCAGAGGGAAATAAAATGAAAGCTGCTAGAGCACAGTAGTTGAGGCCCTTCCTGCCTTTCCATGATTTCCACAGAAGTAGATGAAACATCCCTCAGTCAGCTGATGGCTGAGGAGACTCTGTCCAATTTATATCCAAGCTTCTAAACGTCAACATGTTGCTTTCTTTACCTTTGCCTTTTGCGTATTCTAAATGGCATGAAGCGAGGGAGAGGCCATGCAGGACTTTCTTGGAATATTTCTTAATTGCATACATTAGAAATTATATCTTCCTGACTATTTATAGAGAGATGATATGAGTCCTGTCTTCGCAGAGCTTCATTTTACTTAATAATAAGCTATGTGCATATTTTTTTACGTATTAGTTAAAAAAAATCTTCCTTGTTTCTCTCAGCTTCCCAGGCTGAGTCTATATCATATTTTTGCACAAGTACATATGTAGTATTTTTAAAATCATTTTTGGTTTTTTGAGACAGGGTTTCTCTGTATAGCTTTGGAGCCTATCCTGGCACTCGCTCTGTAGATCAGGCTGGCCTCGAACTCACAGAGATCCATCTGCCTCTGCCTCCCAAGTGCTGGGATTAAAGGCGTGCACCACCAATGCCCAGCTAATTCAATACTTTCAATTGCAAGATAAGATGATAATGATAATGGAAATAACATTGGCTTGATAGCTTCATTATTCAGAGAAATTACATATTCCAATCTTTCCATGTTCCCTTCAATAATATATTTACAGGCAGAAAGTTTTAACGGCACAGGCAATTATGAATTCTCCTTTTCAGCAGTCATTACTGTGCATTTGCGATCAAATTCAGCAGAGACACCAAGGTTTTTCTTAATGATTTTTCTAATGTGAATTTTTATGCTTTTTTGTATTTTACTTTTAGAAATAATTCTGCAATAAACACAAATTTTCAAAAAGATAAGCTTTGCTTTTTAAAAAGGAATTATTTGGAAAGATTCAATTATAGAATATACAAATCTATGCACATTATCATTTCAATATTAGAGCTATTAAAATTCCAATAATTATTTCCATAAACTATATGCAGTGAAGTGCTCTTATAATGAGTTTCTTCCATTGGTCTGAGTGCCCCCATTTTACTAAAAGATGTTCTAATTCCTCTCTTTTTCTAGGTTTCTTATATGTGAAATGCAAGCAAGATTTAAACTTTAAGTATATTAATGTAAAAGCAATGTGCTGTCTTAGTTATTTTCTTATTGCTGTAGGAAAACAACTTACCAGAAAACTTAAAGAGTGGTTTATTTGAGCTCATGGTTCAAAGAAATGCAGTCCGTTGTGGTGTAGAAGACAGAGCTCTGGGAATCTGGTTGGTGGTGCTGACCAGGCAACAGATAAAGGGCATGTCTCTGCCCAGTATGCTCCCCCTTTCAATTCTTTTATTTAGTTGAGGACCACAGCCCTGGGATGGTACTGCTGCTCACATGCAGGGTCACCTTTCCCTTCTCAGTTAAACCTTTCTAGAAACAATCTTGAAAATGCACCTAGAGAAGCACCTCATTAACGTCTTAGACATCTCTTAATCCAATGAAGTTTACAGTAGAAATTAACCATCACCTATAGTTCAGGCATAACACATAGTTGTGTAACTGGATAGAAAACAGTGAAAAATAGTTAGGAAAGGAAAAACCAAATTTGTTTCAATTATATTTCCTGAAGCCAATTCTTGAGTTGTTTGATTTCTGTTTGGTTACTTCAAACCCCAGCATCTCACTGGAGAACTCTCTTTATCCTTAGGGATGTTTAGAAAACAGTCAAACTTTCATAAAAATCAACTCTGATGTATGTGGTAGCTCCCTAAAGCCAGGGGAAACAGTACAGTGCATTGGTTCATCATCAGAGGAGATAGATGGCTGTGTTGGGATGCAGGAGCTAAGGAGGGGGCACATCTGTATTCCCCCCCACCTTAGATATGTGGTGACTCACTTGTGGTTCCCCCCACCCCCCCGCCAGTAAACTCATGCAGTTCTTTTTCACACAAGTGTTAGGAAAAGAATAAATGTGGCAGCCTCTGTGAGGCTGCAATTCTGGAGACTGGTCCTCTTTGCT